CCGGCGGGGCCCGAATTTTTAACTTGTGTTGGGCAAGGCCGTGGCCTAGGCAACACGGAGTTTTCCTCATTGGCATCCCAACAATTACTCCATTCACACACAGAAGAAGGCAATGGCAAACCCCTTCTGGATCATCTGCCAAGAACGTATATGAACAGGTCCCAGTCCGAGAAAAGGATGGAAGGATCCTGTTCATATGGACCTGTCGTCAGACAGAACACTAAATAAATAAATAATAAAATATCACATACCAAACGTTTTAATTGATAAATTCGCTGTGTAAATCTCGACACGCAACAAAAATATTTCTCAGACTACGCTTTCTCTACGGTGTTTATCCGTGGTTCCGGTACAGAAGTAAATTAGTTTTTGCTTTTGTGGAAATTGTACTTCAAATACGTTATGCTTCCACTGGTATTTTAGACGGCCTCTGGAAACCCCCCCCCCCTTCTTCCATAAAAAGTAGAGAAGCTCTTTCTGTCGTCATATCGAAGCGAATGGGTGATAAAGAGAGGAAAACAAAAAGGAAACATTTTAAGTTCTTTCTGTGTTTTTTTTTATTCGTGGTCCCGTTACTTGACCGCAGTGGCGCTGGCGTCGCACCGGAAGTACACCAGCTTAACGTGGAGTTGGCACGCTGATTCGAGTCGATACTTCATTGTTTTCCGTCCTGCAAGTTTCTTTCCTAGACGCCGATTGTGGAGGGTGGGTGGGGGGAGGGGGCGTCATTATCCTCGAAACGGAGTTAGAGTGGAACAATATGGGCATAAAACTTAAAACACTCTTGGAGACTTCTCTTAATCCTTCCCCCAATCTTTTCCTTTTGCGTTGTCTCTTTTAGATTTATCCCCCTTTTTTTTGGTGGTATAAGACTCTTAGACTTGGCTTCCAAAAAAGCGGAATTCTTTTGATTAAATGTCCCCTCGTAGTCATCCAGACGTTGGGAGGGGTGGTTGCAAGATGACCTCGAAGGAAAACATAACATGTCACAGTAACCTTTCTACAAGAACCATTTTCTATAGAAATCCACCCTGAAGATTACCTTAGCGGTAACGTGGTAGACTAACATTTCCTTATTGTAAGGTTGAAATATAAAACGTGCGTCGTTTGTCTTTTAGATGAGAATCGAGATATGAACGGCCATCCGGAGGACGACATCAAGAGGCAAAGAACACAGTACAACGGAGATCAACTTTATTCTAATGTAAGTAACGCCAGGTTATGGTTGTCAGCTTGTGGCTCGCGAGGAAGACTCGAGACTGGTGTTATTCTGTGTGTATGAAATTTCGCATCTTGACTTGTATCACGTGAAATGTGTTACACCATCGCACCCAGCCGTCAAATAAGCTCAGAATACCGTCTATTTGAGGGTAGATATCGTTCTAGTAGGATAATCTGTGTAAGAGAAACAAAGTTTCAAAGAGATTTTGTAAGACTGTTGAGACAAAAATATGACAAACTAGGCTTTTTAATTTCCTGAATCTTCACAGGTAGTTCTTAAGATTTAGGACTTAATTAAGAATTACTAAAATGCGACTTTCTTCTGTTACAAAGCTTTCGTTTAAAATGTTAAACTTGGTTTCTCCTTCATGAGCAGAAAATCTCCGTCCATCCTGAATCCTCCAGCAGAGATGAAGATCACGTGACATTCTCTTTGAGACGTGTGATTTGTTTTTAGTTGTGGTCACTTGTGATAGAGGACACTGAAATCAAATCTAGAATAATTTTTTTATATATATATTTTTGTTTTTAGTTGTGGTCTAGTAAATGGAGTATAAAGGATGAACACAAGTTGCTTTCGGAGCTCGGTAGTGGCGCCGCTAACGGTGGTTCTCCGTACTATGATGCGCAGACTGGATTTCCGACGGTTACCACAACCTCCGACCTCTACGAGAGTATCAGCACTATGACGCAAGCGCAGAGCACGCCGGTGTACACCCCGCCCATTGGAACATCACTCGGTAAGTGGAGAACACGTTCCACGATTCGTTTCTGGTTACGTATGGTCAAACTCGTCGTTGTGGTTGCAGAAGGCGTCAACGAAGTTGGAACAGGATTTTGTATTTTTAAGGCTTTGACCGGGATGTTCTTTTGTTAAATCTTATGTGGTACCGCCTGATTCGACTTCTAATGGTTAAGTGAAGTGTTTTCTTCGCGGTACGGTCTGGATTCGTAAATATTATGAAGACGAGCTTCGGCTTCAAAGGGTTAACCAGCTGATTTTCGTAATGGTGAGGTGTAGTGTTTTCTTCGCGGTACGGACTGAATTCATAAATAATATTCAGACGATCTTCGGCTTCAAAGGGTTAAAGCGATGATTGTAAAAGTTTACTTTTGCCTTTAAGCGTTCTTCGCCCCCTTTTAAATAAAAGCGATGAATGTCCCGTCGGGACTTCGTGTCCGCCTGAGTCTTTTTTCGTGCTAAGGCGAAGGTGATAATTGAGAAAATGTACTATTTTTCAGTTTTGTGAATATTTGTCACGTGGTGTGCTCGGTTTACCTTGGTGGTGGAGTCTGAATCTTTTTAATTTTAATTTTAATTTTTTTTCCGTTTGTGTTACGTTTACCTTATGTTTTGTGTGTCCAATTAATCTATGAACTTGGAACATATCAGCTAATATCACCCTTATCTTGTGGCTCAGAATACGCATTCTTCCGTCTTTTACCCACTGTAAATGTTCTTCTTTAAAGCAATTAAGCTTACTATACGCCAAATCATCAACAGCACTTAAGGATAATCAAAACATTTCATCTCCCAGCTCATATTATTTACTTTGTTATACAAATGGAATAAGTTCTTTATGCCGACTTCGTAGTAGATTATTTACCCATGTAAGATTGTAAAGAAATAAGGTTTATTATGTTATATAAAATATCTTTTGTCCTACAGCAAGATAACTGTATATATTAACGGATGAAGCTATTTGTCTAATTTTTCGTCCATGATGTGCACAAAACCTGTAACTTTTTCCAGCCTGTCATCGCTGATAACTTCAAACTGGACAACGAACTTGTACACTCGAATATCCTCCACGGATGAAATAGATTCTGCGATCCATGTATTTTTTTTTAATGATTCGCATTTTTCAAGGTTTCCTGTAGGTCTAGGCACGATTGAATTAAACACGGCATTGAAAACTTGTGTTTTTTTAAAAAAAAATTATTCTTATTTTGAACTATTCGAGTTTTGTTTTGTTTTGGGGATTCATTTGTTTATTTTTGTTGTTCTGTTATTTTCCGCGCGCGGCAGCAGGGCCTGGCACACTCACGCCTCTAGCGCCAATAACGCTGCAAGAGATGAAACTCGATCCCACCATGGCGGCCTACCAGCAAGGTAAGCTCAGAGTGTGAGGTTATGTTTCCTTCCACAGCCCAGGCACACTCGACGCAGTTACGCTTTGCGTATTATAATGTTGTCAAAGGCGGACCAGAATGAAGTTGATTGGCCTGTCACTCACAAGTGGCGTACTTCTATACTTGAATTGTTTTCCTAACCTCTTTTTTTACAAGGAAGCCGCTTTGGACTTGGAGTATTTACATGCGTGTCAGACAGCGTGTAGTAAAGGACTTGAGGGGTTCTCCCGTGGTCCTCACGCGGCTTCCAAAACTTGAAAAGCTGTTTTATGATAAATATCTTTCTCGTCATACTGACAAGTAATAGTTATTTTAACCAGCACAAGAGGGAGTAGATATTTTGAATTTCCAACGTTTGCGAGATGGAATAAATTTGAATCAAATTCAACTTGATACGCGTCTTACGGCTCTGGCGAGATTTTGAAGGCTTTTGCTTATAGGCCTATAGTGAACTGAACAATATAATCACACCTTTATGTGGCGACAAGATTCTTGGTGAAAAGACTCAACGTTTATAAACTGAATTATATTTAATTAGCGTATATTATATATTCTACAGATATCCAAACAATGAACTTACAGTTTAGAATAGCGTATTAATTACTACATCTAGATATTTTAACTTTTCTTGTATAGTGTTTCAGTAAATTATAATATTACTTTTATGAAGCTTAATTTTTTTCTTGTGGCCGAATTTTATTTCGAGTTTTGATAATTTCGACTACACAATACGTTCTTTTAGCCATGTGATCATTAAACTGTATTGATCACGTACAACCTAACATAACCTATAAATCTGCTTCTAAGCTGCTGTTAATCAACCCTGGTTGAAGGATTTACAGTCGACACTCTGTAGTTTCACAGGCTCAGAAAATCTTCCGGCATATCAAAATGTAGGTTATATATATATTGCTATATTTGGGCCCACTCTCGGTCTGTGAAGGTATGAATTACAAGGTTTTTGGTTACTGTAGGTTATTTTATATTCTAATTGCACCAACATTTCAGTAAATGTTTCTTCTTGTCAAACAATCTTACCAACTTTCTGGGTGGTACAGAAACGTCACAAATCTTGTACACTGTTTCGGCAAATTTCAGGACGTTAACTCAGACCGGTGATGATGCATTTGATTCTGGACAATCCACTGTGTAAGAAAATGCCAAAAATATAGATAAAATATTTGCCTTCTGCGTGAGCTCAAAGCCTTGAAGGCTAAGGTCATGTTCCAGCTTACGTCTCTAAAGGTTCCTTCGCTAGGACTGATGACGTATCACATAATTTGAAACGATTGGCTCCTCCCATACGCAAAATATATCATAGGCGTACATTTTGGTAGTAGGCAATTATTTAATCAGAGGCAATATTTGGATAGGGTAAATCGGGGTAGCTGCCTCGAGGGCAGATTATAAGGAAACAGATACCACATAATAATGCTGATAAATTTTTTGCCGTCTGTTCTAAAGTCAGAGAGTAGCGAAAAATATTAATCAGTCTTACTTCATTCATTTCTCAAGCATTTTAAACATAAAACTTAACTTTGCCTGCGTACAAAAATATCTAGTTTTGCTTCTGTATTTGACGACTATTCATATTTTGTTAAATTCGAGTGTAAAAAAAGTTGTTTGGAGAAGGTTGTTTCGATTCATTTAAATTTAAACACAAAGGCGTGTATATATTTTTTCTAAAAATCGGCTTACACTGATGGTAGTCCAGAAAACGAGGGTAGGGATAATCCATTTATTCGTGGGCCGCTGTGCGGTCAATATGTGGTCGTTTTCATTCCACCGCTGGAAATGAGTTGGCATCCTTCATCTACCCTCCAAACCGCCCGTCACCCCCTGCTCTCTGAAAAGGATCGGCTGCCCGCATGCCTCTGTCTCCGCCATTGGTCTACTGCATGCAAATGCCCAATATACCTCTTTCCTGTTCCTGCATTTGCATGAAATATGTGATGTGTACTACGTACATGTTTGGTACTGTTTGCAATTTTCTGTGAATCGTTTGTTTCAGCAACGCGACTACAAAGCGTATGTTTAAATTCTTCCGTGACTCTGTAATTAAATACAAATCAGAAGTTTAGAAATTACGTCCTGTAGTCGTGTCCACTGACTAATCTTCTTATTTTGGCTTCAGTAGGCTTGAATCCGTATTGTTTTGCTCTAGAACTATATTAGATGACTTCTTATATAAAAAAATTAAATATATATTATCAGTTTTATTGGCTTTGAAATATAATTTGTTTGTAGAGAAATCACATGCAGTTTTTGGTATATGATCCTCGTAACAAAATAGTCGCGTGATCGATCCCGGAAACTGTCACTAATAATGCAACATTCCGTAAGTCTAATGGCAGTCTGAAGTTAATCTCTCATGACGCTGTATACTACCCGTATCAAAAATTCCTCTCTGTAATTTTATATTAAGAGATTTTTACATGTTTTTTCATTATATAATCATTGCATATAATTAGGTTAAATATTTGCTAAGTGTTTGTATTTAAAGAATATTTATTGCTGTACATTACGTACTGTTTAAATATTGAATTTATGCTAACGTATTTAATTTTGTGTACTTTCGTTCTTGGTGCTCAAAAATTTTAATACACCTCTCGTTTCATTGAAATCTGAATTATTTCTGATTTGTTTTATTCAGCATCGCATTCAGTAGTTTACACTACATTCCGCTGAACGATAGGATAATTAATAAATAATTAATTGGATAGAATGTGAAACGAATCGATTACGTGCTAATTTAAAGTTTTATATAAAAACATTTGGCTACAAAGACTAACTACCAAAAACCTCACTGATTCACATTTAAAGCCGTGTTCGCCTGAATATTAACCAGAAGTGTTAACTATTCCGCAGAGATGTTCGATTTTATTTCTAGAATTTTTATGTTAAATACATTATAATAATAAATACAACATTCATTACATACTTTTGTAAGTTTCAGAATTTACGTGATGGTTTTAATTGTAGGCTACTATAACCTCTATCATTTGTAGTGTAGATTATAAAAATTGTCGGTTGGCTTAGATAATGACCTTGACATCAAAGACTTCGTGTAAAATTATGATACGAAAGTCGCATATAATATTTCCTCTGATCAATTAAAATTTTATTTAAAATGCTAATGTTGCACCGAATTTTCTGTGAATTATTTGGCTGAATGTCCATGCATTTTGGAATACAGTGATAGCTCTAGACTTATCAGTTGCCTATAATTGCATGTATTGCCCTGTAGACGTACCCGGATTATTAAGTTTGCTTCTGATTGCAGATAGATATTGTATTTTAATTACGTGTTACTAGTAAATAACTTTATTTGAAAATTATATTTTGCACGAAATTACTACTTTTAGAAGTAGCAATATGAATTGTTAATGTGCTTATTTTACACAGGACTGCTGTTAATCAAAATGTCTAACTCGCCAATTCCAAGCATTTTTTATTCATATTAGTGCCTGTTTGCTTGCTGATGTAGTTTACTGAGAAATTAAACTTATGGTAGGGAGGGATAAATACTTTGTATTGGGCGAAACGATTTCTTTTCAGAAAATGTTTGAAATCTGGTTAAGAATACCGTTGGTATCACTGTGTTGTTAGATGTTGCAGTTCACATGTCTTCTTACAGATGGCAGAGCAAATAGTACGGACTTTCGCAGCCATCTTTGGGCAAATTATAAAATTTCCTCTAATATGAATTGACTTGAGTGTAGGTGTTTTCTTTTTCCGTTGTGATGCGCCGTGGAATTGTGCGTAGACACAACGGAAAAACGTACTGTCTCCATCTTCACCTGAAGGTCGAAACTTTATGTTTCTCCGAAATTAATCCACAAACCAGAATATCGATATTTTTACCGCAATGAGAACATAAAATCTCGAATGGATTGTGCAGAACATGAGTTGGTATTTCAAGATGAGACAAATATATAGATATAAGTTTTATAATACGTTAATGATGCCAGAGAATATGTTGTAAGACATCCGTTGGCAAGCTTGGAAATGTAATTAGCATGAGTTTGGATTTCGCTTTTAAGCAGCATGTTTTAGTGTATGTAGCTAGTGGCAAGTGTGTTTGTTGTGCCGTCCACCAGAGAGCAGCACTTATAACGGGGTTAATACGAGTACGGACGCTGCTGCCGCTGCTGGGTCGTCCCCAGGGCTCCCCTTGTCCC